GTTGATGATTTCCTGTCAGTACTTTAATTATTTTGAAAATTGATGCACGCTCATAATATGTACATGTGTTTTTCGTCGTTTTTCTCTTTCATGTAAAAATATTAGATTTGGTGACACATATTTAAAAAAATTATCTTGTTACTTGTTCATGTCATTTTTAATCTTAACGACTTGAATTCAAATACAAAAAGACGAAATTATAGGATTATGAATCAACTATCTAAAGCAAAGTGATAATTCCTTCTGAACAATATTATTTTTGAATTTAGCGTACATTAATTGATTAAAGATTTAAAATAGAGATTTTATGTGAGAACACAATTAAAATGTTAGTGAATGAACACAATCAAGCTATTAATAAGAGAAATGAAGCAAAAATCTATACAATTGTAAATTCAGCTTTGATGAGATCTTTTTGTAGGCCTATGTAATTAAAGAAGCTCTGGCTTTACCTAGGAGAAAATTTTTCTCCTCACTATTTCCTAACGTTGATTAAAAAAAAAACAAAAAAACTTTACGATGTTCCTTGCAATGATTAATATTAATAACTAGAAAAAAATGTAACTACCTCCACAGACCTTCAACAACAAATCTGTCCAGCTGGCAACAGATGACTTACTTAGCACAATTCTTTATACTGTTCTTATGAGACTAGTGAAACAGAAAACAGAGGTACAAAAGGCGCGCCGTCAGTTGAAAAGATTTATAACCTTAGTATTATATGTTATAGAAAATAATTTACATAATAGATAAAATTCACTGAAAATTACTTTAATTTCCACATCCTTTCTGGTTTAGATCTTTCATTAGATAGTCGTTAATACAAACGTTAATACAATAAAAAGATACGAACAAAAACTGTAATGTGTTTGTTTGTTTTTGAATTCTGCGCAAAGCTACACGGAGGTCTATCTGCGCTAGCCGTCCCTAATTTAGCAGTGAAAGACTAGAGGGAATGCAGCTAGTCGTCGCCACCCACCGCCAACTCTTGGGCTACTCATGAGATTGCCCTCCATGTTATAACGCCCCTGCGGCTGAAAGGGCGAGCATGTTTGGTCGGACGGGGATTTGGACCCGCGACCCTCAGATTTCGAGTCAAGCGCTCAAACTACCTGGCCATGCCGGGCCCAGTAATGTGTGGAACATAAGGAGAACACTGAATTTCATAAACAAAAATATTGTTAATATAAACTGTTGAGAAGGGAAAGGTGAAAAAAGATATGAAATATCGTACATAAAAGTTAATTATAAATGCATAGAAATATATACATTTATGAAGAACAACAACAATCATATATACGAAAGCAACTTGAGTTAAAAGTTGTAGAAAGTAGAAGGGAAAAAGTGAGAAACACTCATTGAAATGGTTATTTAACATATTATTTCGTTTCGGTTGAAAAAGGAAATGATGCCAAGAATGTAATAAGCTGATCTTCGTGAGTGCAAGAGCGGCGGATGGAGGCAGACTTTAAAACAACTGTTTGAAATAAGAAAGATCGTGTTGCATATCGAAGAAATGTCGTCTGTGTTGCTTTTAATAATGTGTCGTTTCTACGGAATCTTTCATTGACTTTGCGACTGTTCGCTTATGTATAATAGGGTGCAAAAATTAAAAAATAGGTGACAGATTCTGTCAAACGTATGTAAGAGACTGTCTCATGTTAAACCGGCCTTTGGACCAAATGATCAATGTATTGTTGCGTCAGCGAGATCACGTGACTAGTATCACGCCACCCGTTTTCTAGAACTATCCTGTTCCTTCGGGAGTGCTCTAGCATTTGCTAGATTGGGGGTGGTGTGGTATATATAAGATGTTCACGACGTGACGTGACAATGTGTGTAGGTAGTGAGTAATTGAACTGCAGTCAGAAAGTATTGTTGAAGTTAACGTTCGTTGTTATAGCGTTTGTTATAGAGCGACTGTTGAAAATAAGTGTATCGGTAAAGTTATATTCAGAAAGAATAAACCAGTTTTATTAAGAAAGGACTTGTGTCGCTAAAGTTTCGTGGGAACGAAGTTACGGAAAATCAACTAACGAACGGAGACGTAACAGTATATAGTTATCCATGTGTTTACATATTACATAACGTGATAGCTCACAAAGATGACATTCTGAAGATCTGACAAGGTGTTCATTGTTGCTATTGAAATTAGCACAAACCAGTATATCTTAAAGATGAGGGTTGTATATATAGGCAAAATACAAGTTTTTAATTAAGAAATTTGTTTTAGTATTTGGATTATCTTGTAGAACATGAAAGGTGTCTATGATAATTTTCGTTACTAGGTGATTGTTTGTTGATAAGCACAAAGATACATAGATGCTAGTTCTACTGTGCCAAACACGGTTATCGAAACCCGATTTTTAGCGTGATGAACCTTCAGACTTAAAGCTGAGCCACTGGTGGGTGTTACTAGTTGTAACTTGGTAGGATGGTAAGAAATAACCAAACGTAGTCTTTAGTTACGATCTTTTAAGGGTGTATGAGTGGCTTTGTTGAAAGTTTTATCTATGATAAGTCTTGGGTAAACTCGAGAAGAAGTGTGTCATTTCTTTGGATTTAGAGATGAAGTCAATATCTCAGTATTCTCACAACGAAAGCAACGTAATCGCAAAAATGTAAAGATGTAAATACAATCAGATAAGTATCAGATAAACAAATTTGAAAATATGAAGAATAAACAGATTAGACACATTTGAAGAACAGTGAAAACATTTTTTACTTAAACATAACAAATCAAAAAGTGTTTATATCTACATGGACAAGTGGATGATCACATCACCTCTACTGGATCAGGAAATAGCTTATCCACTTTCCATCCCTAAAAGTGAATTTATTCCGAACTACTCTCGATGAAAACTAAATAAAATTCAACTAAGAAAGCATGCTTGAATTCAACATAAAAACTTGTTTTGTTCAACAAGTTGACAGTGTCATCTAGTGAACTACATTTTCTCATAGAACTGATCAGCTATTACATTTAGTGAACAAGAGCTCGGCCAGCAAAGGATATTAAAGTGTCAATTTTTTCAATCTGGATGCTATATATTACTACAATATCTTCTCAGGCAGAATAGAAATTACCTACTATATAGAATACAGAAACAAAGCAATTAGAACAAGATAATCATAATAACTTTGTGAACCACATGTTGTCATCATTATAGCATGGAAACTAAACAACCAAAAATTATATAAAATTCTCTATATCACAAAGACAGGTAGAAAAACATAATATATATGATTATCACAACAGCAACACAGATGAAACTGTATAACAACATTTCTGCAACAAGTCACACGATCTTTCTCTTCTCAAACTGGTTATGTTCTGGTGATAATGTCTGCCCACATTAACTACTGCCCAGGTGAAAGCAACGAACAGCATCTTATTTACATTTTTGGCACATCTTTCTCTTTTGGTTTCAATGGAATAAAATTTCTGACTGTTTTATATCCCTTCTCCTCTGCTACATTTCTACATATTTTTAAACTTAATTTACTTTTTACTTGCGATTAATCTTTGATATATATATATTTGTATTAACAATATTTTGTATACGCAACTGTATGATATTTGTCACATGTCTCACACTAGTGGAAAGATGGAAACTAATAACAGGCGTGGTGAAATAAGAAAATACTTAGACGAAGTTGTTGAAAAAAGAGGTACCATTTTCATAGGAGACATTATGCGGACTTATACTGCTAGAAACCGGGTTTCGATACCCGTGGTGAGGAGAGTACAAATAGTCCTTTGTGTAGCTTTGTGCTTAATAACAAACAACAACAACCAAAGTCGATCTACACCGGTGCCGTTTTTACAAATACCAATATTATTGGACATTACTATATTACACCAAACCATTGTTCAAATCTTTGTGCAACTATTAAGTGTGAAAGGTTCAGTGGTGCTTATCAAAAGGTATTTCGCTATGTTGAATGTGTTGTTGGGTATGTTTTTAATATTTTAACTTGGAAATTTTGTATTGTTTGTTAGATTGAGTTTTAGGCATGACGTCTAGAAATTCCTGAGAGTCCAAATTTGACGTGACCTCTCGAATATTCTAGAAGCTCGAAAAAAGTAATAATATAAAACAATTTGTTAGTAAGATTGTTAGTCAGCCACTTTTGAGTATGCGTTGTAGATAGTGGAGGAAAATTAACAATTAAGTGACTGTTTAGTTTTACGAAAGTAGCCTGTAGAACTGGTACCTCATGGTTGAAGAAATAAACCACTTCGCCAATATTAAGTGGGTTGGACTTTGTATTATTTTTTACCAAATAATGTAAAATAACTCGCTCACCGATATACATCGAAACCGTCATAGAAATGAACAAACAGTTTCATATAACCCAAAGCTAATTCATATCAGAGTTGACAGAGGTTGCTTTAGCGGAGAGGGTAGTACCTGATGGAGTACTACATTTTAAGTATAAATCCTTATGATTGATAGTTAAGTTAGATAATTACATGAACTTTGTTCTTGTCATTCAAATGGCTTATCAAAACAAATTAGAAAAAGTAATCGTTAAAAATAAACCATTGACCAATAAGAACAGATATTAAAATATTTCGGAAAAGCCTGTCATCTATTTAAGATATAATAATTTTGTTAATGCCTCGCCATCTAGTCGACTCAAGCTGAGTAATTCCATGTTAGCAGCGACAAATGTCGCAGACCAAAAAAGTGATTTAAATTTTAAGTTAAATTGCCAAGGGAAAAAGTAAGTAAACTAGACCTCTGTTATTAGTGTAGTTATTTCTAACTTATTCAGATTAACTATTACTAGTGTCAGCATAAAATATAGGTTGTAAGAAAACGTGATGTAATTGGCTTATTAACAGTAATTACTTGCACATGGTTTCGCATTCGCCGATACCTTGCCAATACCACATTCATAAGACGGAACCTCATTCGGTCTTTGTGTAAAGCTACCCTTTTGAAATTTACTGTTCTCCTTTTTCTTCGAGTATGTGAAAATGTAGGCCTAGTGACATGAATGATATTGATAGAGTAAATTGCATATACTTATGATGTTTAAATTCACTAGTGATTTACTGATTTAGGCTGACAATGACATAGTTATGGGTCATCAACTGGTACTACGGCGAATGATATACTGTGGCAGTGGGTTTGAACTTTGAAAGCAGAACTTTGTAATTTATACTATTCATTACCAGACTAATTTCAATTGACCATTTTCAAAATGATAAGGTTGATAAATGCCTTCTGTGTTTATTAATTACTATAAATATAGTGATTATTGAGTGAATAACAGAAAATAATTGTATTTCTCTATTATTTCTCATTGTTTTGAAGTACTTAAGATTACAGATAAGTATTCAGCTATCTAATTACCTATCTTAGTGTATATTTTTTGCACACATTTTAAAAGTTTATGGTTAAGGGGAGGGCACAAGATGCCGAGCCCTTACCTTTGTTGTATACATGCATTGATGCCATGGATTTTTCCTATTAATGCTGCTATCTATCTATATGCTACTAAAACTCTGAGATTGTTTGTGTATTTGCTTGTTTGTAATTAAATACACCAAAAACAGTGCACAATAGTGCCATATTTGTAATGAAATGAGAATAGAAACGGAATAAAACAAGCTTCGTTAAAATCGGGCCACAGCATAACTTTTTGGGTCTATTTTTGTTCATTCCATTGTTATAAAACTTCATTTTCCACCTGATGAATATATTCTATACAACAATGTATGCACAACAGAAAGTAATTGATGAGATGAAAATGTGTTATAACACCACATAGAAAGAACAACAATAAA